GGAAGAAACTGACCTTCCAATTCTAGATTCATAAAAATATCTGCAAATTGAGGCCAGCGCAGTGGCTCACAGGTCAAGCCCTTATCTGCAAATGCCTGCATCCCACGTAGGCACTGGTTCCAGTCCTGGTTCTCATTGTCTCTCATCCAGTTTCCTGTTCATGGCCTAGGAAAGCAGCAGGGAAGGGCCTACAGCCCTGCACCCACGTGGGAAATCAGGAGGAAGCTCCTGGCTCCTGACTGCTGCCTACGGATCAGCTCAGCTCTGATCCGAAAAAAATCTCCAAAACAGACCGAAAAATCTCCAGAGAGTTCGCTCTGGGTGACTGGGGATGCTGTCCACCCCACAGCCTTTCCACTGTCCTGTTGTGAGCATGTTTGTGCTGGTGGGGCCCAGTCTGTTCTGCACAGCAAAGGGGATGGGCTGCTCTCCATGGGCAAGGACGCCCTTGTGAGCTAAGTTTACTCGCCTTGGAGTAAGGCCACCCATCGGATGGCGGGGGCCAGAGGGTGCTGCTGTCACCGTCAGAGTGAGGTTTGGAGGGCTGCTGATTGCCCTCCTCTTCAGCATGGCAGCAAGAAACTCCACTTCCTGCTTCAGAAAGCCTGTGGATGGTCTCCCAGAACATCCTTCTCTCCCTAGGGCCCCCATGCCGAGCTGTGATGGCCTATCAACAGGCATTTGCACTTGCAGCTGCTGTGGGCTGTCTTGTGGGTTTACCAGCAGTGGTTCATAACCCGTTCCGTCCTCACCTTCTCCTCTGCTGCTTGCATTCATCTGGGCTCGGAGCCGTGTCCAGCCTGGCACAAATTTGTCTTGAAGGGTAAATCCAATCCAGAGCCTGCCCTTCCTGGAAGGGGTGGCTCTCCCTCAGCCACGTCCTGGGGTGCAGGTGAGTCCTGCAGCCAGCCAGCATAAGGCCTGATCTCCCCAGAGGCACTGCACCAGACTCCGTCCTAGATGGAGTCTTGGCCAGTGGGTGTACTGGGGACACTGAGGCCAGAGCCATGGAAGAGCTGTGTGCAGGAGATGATTCTAGAAGATTAGCAGCTCTAGGCAGTTTTGGGGGTGGTTAAACAGTTGACCGATACAGGTTGTGTATCTTGGGATGATTCGAGAAACCAAGCTCTGCCTGGATTTGTGGGAACTTTGTTTCTTCTACATCAGCTCCCCACAACTTTGCATATCCCTTAACTTTGCATAGCCCTTCGGCCCACACCTCTGGAGACTCGGTTACCCCTCATGCTTTCCTGTTTAAATGTTCTTTTCCAGGCTTTCCTCAAACCTGTATTATTTTCTTAGAAATCTTTTTGAGGAAAACTACTTAGTGCTAAAAGCCACGAGGAGGAACCTGACCTGCATGCTATTAAGTAAAAGAAGCCAATCTGAAAAAAAAGCTACCAACTTTGTGATTCCAGCTCTGTGACAGTGTAAAGGCAGCATTTTGGGCCAACTTCGTGGTATAGCAAGTCAAGGTACCGCTTGTAACCTCAGCATCCCATACGGGCACCAGTGTAAGTCCTGGCTGCTCAGCTTCTGATCCAGCTCCCTGCTGATGTGCCCGGGAAAACAGTGGAAGATGTCCCAAGTGCTTTAACCCCTGCCTCCCATGTGGGAAACCTGGCTGAGGCTGCTGGCTCCTGGCTTAGCCCTGGCTGTTGCAGCCACTGCATGGAGTGGACCAGTGGGTGGACGCTATCTCTCTCTCTCTGTAACTCTAGCTTTTAAATAAATAAATGAAATATATTTTTTAAAGCAATGCAATGCTATGGTCACGATAAGGATATGGACAGTTGTAAGGGATTGGGGGATGGCACGGGGTTGGGATGAGTGTGTTGAGCTAAGAGGACTTGTAGGGTTGCGGATCTACTCTGCATGATTCTGTAATGATGGACGTGTGCAAACTTACGGAATGAGACCTGGAGCTGTGGACTCGGGTGGGAAGGATTCTAATGAACAGATTCCTCTGGTGGGGATGGTGATGTGAGGAAAGCGGTGCCTGTGTAGGAGCTGTGCCCACATGGTTCTTGTTCTTAGTTAAGAAGCATTTCAAGCACAGGCACTGATATGGCTTAAGCAAGTGAGAAAGTTTATTCAGAGGGTGAGGAGTACAGAAAATGAGGGCCATGTTCAGGAAGAGTGGGCCAGGAAGGAAAAGGGTAAGGAAGAAAGCTTTCCTACCATCTGTGCTTGGAGTAAGTCTGTGGGAAGCAAGCACGGAAGTGGGTAGAAGGCACAGAACTAAGAGCATGAACTTCCCATCATGGGCTTCAAGGGGCTTGAGAGAGTCCTGGTTCTGCAACAGCACAATACTGCCCCCTTCAGGTTCCAGGTGATGCTAGGTGAGCATCATCTTCCTTACAGATGGGCAAAAAGCATTACATGGGGAAGGGAGGTGTAAATTCCAAGCCCATGACCCTGAACTAGCTGCCCAAGACCATATCATCCCCTCATGTGTCAGTCTGCATTCAACTTGTACCTGAGAGGGACTTGGCGGGGGGGGGGGGGGGACAAAGGCTCATTTCAGTTCATAGACTGAAGGTTGCGGTATCCGATAGCCCCTAAGCTTGGCTCCTGATGGAGGCTGCAGAGCCGTGGATAACAGTGCAGAACCAGGCAGGAGTGAGAACTCAGACTGAACTGGAACTCAATCAGACCTCTCAAGAGAACCACTACTGGGGGGCACACGCTCAGTCCTCAAAGACCTGTCACTAGTCCCACCTCTCAGATCAATCTCCACCTTAATGCTTTAGCCATTAAGACATCTGAGTTTATGAATGGGGCGACAAGTCCTGCTGTTAGTTATTTAAAACAGCTCAAGTTCTAGTTCACACGATATTATGATATTATTACACGCAGCTAATTCCCGCAACCAGGTTCTTTACCGTGAGCTGAAAACACCAGACACAACGAGGTATCTTAGGAGGTTTATTCCAGCGGTGCAGGAACGGGGTGGAGGTGGTGGAGATCAGTGGGAAAGGGGGAAAAAAGGAAGATGGAGGCACCTGGGGCCCCTTTATGCAGGTAGGCCTGCAAGGTGTGGGGGCGGGGTTGGGAAGGATTGAGGGCAGGCCCCAGGTGCCTGCAGGTGAATGCCTAGGGATGATTGGTGAGTGGGTGGGGTTGGCAGATTGGGGTGGGAATCTCAGGTGAAATGGCTGATTGGTGGACTGCTGGACTGGCGCCAATTTTGTGAGCTGTGAAGAAGAGGAAATGACACCGGTCCAGGGTGGGATATTCGAATAACTCCTTACACCTGCTCATCTATAATGTCATTGATGTGTTTCTTCTGAATTTACTGTCTAGTGTATCTGGGCCCCTGCACAACCAGGGGTCATCTGAGTGGGTTCTGCCCCATCATGATGGGCCCACCAGCTCCCATCAGCCTTGAGGATGTTCCTCCCACATGCTCAGAGGCAGGCATCCTGTTCGTGACCAGACACAGGCACCATAGAAGCTGTTGGCCTGTGGATATAGCCAAGAGCAGGTGTCTGGATCACACAAGGCTGCTGCGAAGGGCCCTAATTTCTGTGCCACACGGTGTTGCTGAGAGGGCCTCAGGGTCCTGATTCCATTTCTTCCAGCTCAGCTCCTCCTGTGGCCCCAGTGTTCACATTTATACCCGAAAGGGCAGTGCCATCCGAATGCTTCACCCAGTGCCTACATATCCTGGTTCTGCTTCGTGGATAATTTTCAGCAATAAAGTAAAAGAAAGACTCTGGAAGTGTTTTAAGTAGTTTTTTTCCCCCTTATTTTTATGTACTCCCACCCCTCCAAATTTCCACTCTACTTCTTCCTAACAGGTACACACACACACACACACACACACACACACACACACACACACAGAGTTGTACAGATTCAACAGAAACCAGAGAGATGCAGTGCTGGCTGTACCCATTGTGCTTGGTGAGGGCTGCCCCGTCCTCCGCAGGTATCATCCCTGGATGCCCTTCTGGCTCTGGGTGGCTGGAGCAGGCGTTTTGGTAAAGTGCTTAGAAGGAAGTGCAAAGCCCACTGAGCCCAGCACAGAGGACGAGAAAGGAAGGGCAGAAGGTATGACTTCTCGGGGCCTTTGTCAGCCATTCGGAGCAGCTGGCCGTGCCAGGCCTCCCAGATTCTCAGAGCTTTGCAAAGTCCCATAGAAATCCTGAGATGCTTGCGCTACTTAAGATGATTTTCTGTTAATCACCCGGCACCGTCCTGTAAGCATATATGTAATATCAGACCAACAATTACTCAAGGCAGCCTGGCTCTGGGCAAGCGTGTTTCTGCTAATTAAACTTGTTGCATTTGAATGGCTGCCTGCAGCCGCACCCGCCATGAAACTGTGGTGAACAATAAAGGAAACCATTTTCCTCCTTCTACCCCAGCCTGGAGCTGCAGATGGGCGCCCTGGGTGTGAAGAGCTAGCCCCTGAATTAGTCTTTTGTGTGAGCCTAAGAAGGTGATTTGAATGTTTGAAACCCTCCCCTCTCCCAGGAAGCTCGACTCAAAGTGAACAATTCACTGAATAAAGACTAATTAGGCCTAAATTAATTAGAGGGTGTGGTTTCAAAGGATGTGGATGAGCAGAGCCTGTCATTTCAGACAAATGGGAGAACGCTCAGTGAATTAGCCCCATTAATGCGTTTTGTTCCTTTTCCTCTATACGGTCAGAAAGCACCCCTCAATGGGGCTTGCCCGTCTGTCTGCCTGCCTACCTGTGGGGGGTGCAATTTTACGGAGGCCCCTAGGTTCCCGCCAGTTAATATTTATATTTCCTGGGTGTTGTGTTTTTCATCCGGGAAGGTGGCCTGGAATGTCACTTTTATTGTGAAAAGGGAGGTGGGGTTGGAGTGCGGGACAACACTCAATGTGCTGCCCCTTTCCATCAGCACTGGGTGCTTTATGTAAACAGCCCCACCTCCCTTGGCACGCCCAAGGCCTCATTGTGGCACTTCCTCGTAAAGATTTGTGCCCGTCTTTTTCCTGTCTTCACCACCTGCTTTTTCTCACAGATGGAGTATTTGGAAGATGCCAGAAGGTTCCGGCGAGAGACACATACCGCTATGAAGTGTCACCAGTGGTTCTGCAGCACCTGAGGGTCACCCTGCAGAAGCTGTCCCGCACAGGTAGGACAGGTGTGGGCCCCAGGACCGAGGTGGTGTCTCGCACTAATGAGGATTTTGTTTGCTTTAAACATCCAAGGGCTTTTTACGTGGGCTGAGTTCGGGAACCCGGGCCATGGAAGGTTCCCACTGGGATGGAGAGCTCCCTGGCTTCCTGCTGCTGTTGCATAGCTTCTCTGAGCACCTCCAGGAGAGATCAGAGCCATGCCAGGCACTTGCAGCCCAGGGCCTGCGCCTGATTCAAGGTGGGCAGGGGGTGCCTGCTCAGCCTCTGCTGATGCTGGGTGGGAGCGACATCACGTTAGATAAGTCTAGGGTGTGTTAAGGAGTCTTTATTAACCAAACTAGGTGATGACAGGATCCACTAGAAATGAGCAGATTACGAGTCCATAAAGCAATCCAGTCAATCAAAACCCAAGAGGAACAAATGGTCATTATCTTAAAGTCCATCTGCTAAACTGAAGACTTATGTCTCAGCTTCCCCAACAATATAAGCCATCCTAAGAGACATACAGTGAACAACCTGGACACACTTACAAAGCTGCAGACATTCACCTTTCCCTGGCTTCCCTGCCCACATTCCATTTCTACTAGGCCTCACCTCTCCTGGAACTCTTGAAAGTACACAGATTAGAAATACAAAGCATCTTAGTATTAACATCTTTACTGTCCCACCCAAGCAGCGAACAGAGGGTGAGGAATACAGACGTACAGGGCCATGCTCAGGAGATCCCTGTCCTCAGAGTCTGTCCATGGGAAGCTAGAGAGCAAGCTGGGGAGGCCAAGAGATGAGTGCCAGAGTGACAGAAGCATGGGACCAAGAGAGCGAGCCTCTCTCTACCAGGGGCCTTTGCAGGGGCTTGTGAGGGAAGTGGTTACACAATAACGCAACACCGCCCCCTCTCAGGTTCCAGGTGATGGCAGGTGAGCATCACAGGTGGGCAGGAAGGAACACCCAGGTGGGGGAGTGGCTTCCAAGTTCATGACCCTGAACTAGCCGCTACCTCACAACACTGCCTGACTTTGCAGCAGTGCAATTTTTAAATAAATTCCTGTTATCTCTTTACTTCACGTGGGCACTAAGAAGATCATTTTTTTTTAAATCTTAATTTAAAAATTGTGAAATTTCACTTTATATCATTTATGTGAATGTTTTCCTGCAGGTAATCTTAATATCTGAGCTGTATCATTAGGTCCGGCGTTATGACTGTTGCATTTACTTGGATAAAGTCAGGTCTCTTCTCTGCCAAGACAAGAGGCCGATTTGGTCATAAGGCAGTTTGCAGGGCTGGAGCTCTTAGGGAGGGGGTAAAATCTGCCTGTGTCACAGTCAACACATGAAAGATCACCCCCCAGACAGCAAGGTCTCAGGTGGGACCAGGAAACCATGAGACCTTGAACTTGAGGCTCCTAGAACTCCTGGCTTCTAGAACTCCCTAGAGAGTTTTTGACTTGCTCAATAGTGAAAAAAAGTTTATGTTCAAATAAGTTTGGCAAATGTGACTGCCTCCATCCCTCCTTTTGGATGTCTTGTTAGAGGCCCTGGAAAGTTCTGTGTAATGAATTATGTTAATCAATCAGTTCCAAGTCATTGAACCGTAGCAACTTTTCTTTCTGCGATGCCAACTGTAGAAGGTTTAATCAGAGAACTAGACTGATTAGGAGACCTTGGGGCACGTGTTAGAGGGACATGCATTCCGTGATCAGGAAGCTGGCTGAGCATCTTTAAGATGCTGTCTTGAAGATCTGGAGCCTGAGGCCCCTAAGGCAGACCTCGGAGAAAAAAAGACGTATGGAAAGTGGGAAGGTCAAGGTGAAACAGAGTCCACAGAGACGGACAGAAGCTGTGCCCCTGCCTTAGCCTGCGTGGTGAGGATCAGCTCTATTCCTGGAAAAGAAAGCCGAGTCTCTTGTGTGTCTTTGGGCAGCGTTTATCCTCATTTAGTGGACTTGTTCTTTTTTGTTTTTACATCCTATTTGTTAATCGTAAGATATAAGTTTTTAACTGTACAAACACTATAATGATATTAACCATGTTAGAAGATAAGGGAGTTAAAGAAGAGAATAAAAGAAATATTTCATAATATGTGAAAGAAACCTATTCTGATAGAATACGGAACTCCTTGTCACCAGACCAGACCTTGTTTCCTAGCTGGTGTCCCTACCTGCTGTCTTCTGATACCTTGGCCACATTCTCTTCCCACTTAGGACGCATCCTCTTGCTTGTGTCTCTTGTCTAGTGGGGGATATAAAGCTTTGTTCTCGAATTTTCTGGGCTATTAGGACTCTTGGGTGAGTTGCAAGTCTAATTTTTCCTTAACTGCAGTCAGGAGAGTACCATAAAGTACGATGCATCTCTGACATATTTCTATGGTGTGTCCTGGCAACAGTCTCTCTGATAGTCAGGGTCACCCCTGCAAGGAACATATTGCTGTCTCTGATGGCTGACTCGGGTGTCAGGAACCCAAATTGGCTGAGCTGTGGACTTGCGTTGCAACCATTGCTGTGTTCCCTAGTAGTAGCATTTCTCCCTTTGGACCTAAGACCTCTAGATTGGCAAATCATACATTCTTGGGGGACAGTAAGTAAATATTTTGTGAGTGGGTCATTAGGGATATTAGTAGGGTCACTTCTATGTTCACCCCTTGATTCTTAAACATGTAAACCCAGGCTATGGCAGAAGGATGCCCTCCTTTGGGCACAGATTCAAAGTTTATAGGCAGACTTCGAAGGACCTGGGCCCAGCACTGCAAGGTATCGTTACCAACCTGGCGCTGTAACAGTCTTCGAAGGTTATTCCACCATTCCATGAAGTTCCAGATATTTCAGGATGGTTGAGTGCATGGTAAGAGCAGTGTGTCCCAAGAACATAAGCCCATTGTTGTACATCCGTTGGCTGGTCCTTGATCAGACGTAGTGTTGTGTGACATCCCACGACAGTCGATAAGACACTGTAAGTCCATGAGTGATAATTTTCGGAAGAACATTATTTGCAGCAAAGGTGATTTTGTATCCAAACATGTCTATTTCACTGTGAACGAAATACTGCTGCTTCCATTTTGGGAGTGGTCCAGTGTAATCAGTCTGTCACCAGGTTGCTAGGTGATGGATCACCCAGAAGTCATGTGGTACCAGAGGTTTAGTGCTATCTTTGCATCAGCCAAGGTGAGTTGAATTCTGTGTCACTGACCCCATGCACAACCTACAACCCTGTTGCCATGGCCATGTGTGCATGAATCCAGTTGGCAGTGATAGGAGCGGCTGTAGCTGACCCACAGAATGGGTTGTTCTGTTCATTTGATTATTGAAATTCTTGTTTGCTGAGGTCAACCTTTGGTGTGGCTTCACATGGAACACATGTGTCTTTACAATTTTGTATTCATTTAGAGAAATCAGTTTAATACCAGGATTCATAAAAAAGTTTGTGAAGTGGCAGATGTTTGGCACAGTGGTTGAAACAGCTTGGGACACTCACATATTGGAGAGTATGAGTTTGAGTCTCAATTCTACCCATAATTCACTTTCTTAACACACACCCTGGGAAACAGTTGTAATGGCTCAAGTAATTAATTGGTTCTTGCTATCTATGTGGGAGACCTGGATTGAGTTCCTGATATTTGGGAACAAATTAGTGGATGGGAGTTTTCTTTCTCTCCCTCTCAATCTCTCTGCAAAGGTAAAAAAATAACATTCTTTTTTTAAAGATTTGTTTTTATTGAAAAGTTAGATATACAGTGAGAAGGAGAGACAGAGAGGAAGATATTCCATCTCATGATTCACTCCCCAAGTGGCTGCAATGGCCAGAGCTGAGCCAATCTGAAGCCCAGAGCCTCTTTCAAGTCTCCCACATGAGTGCAGGGTCCCAAGGCTTTGGGCCATTCTCGACTGCTTTCCCAGGCCACAAGCAGGGAGCTGGAAGGGAAGCAGGGCCATCCGGACATGAACTGATGCCCATATGGGATCCAGGTAAGTGCAAGCTGAGGACTTTAACAGCTAGACTACTGTGTCGGGTCCAGCAAATAACATTCTTAAGAAATAACATTCAGAAATTTAGAAAAATTGAGTTTAAAAATAAATATATTTTCTTGCAAAATAACTTTGAAATCTAAACATGATTTGTCATAATATGAGTTTTCCACAAACTTTTCTTAGAACCCTTAACAGCAGAAAAATGATTCCAAAGCAATTCAGATTATCAGAGTGATACTTTCATCTTAAGCCCAGAGTATGCAGGCAAAGGGACATTTCTGCTTCCACCTAAGTTACAAAGGCTGAAGTTTCCTGGAAGGATGAGAGGAGCTGTGGTTCACAGCTCCAGTCTGCAGAGCTCCAGGTGTGAGATCTCTGCTATGCAGCTGAGGGCTGTGGAAGAGAGTGGCTTGCAGGAATCAGGCCCAACAAGAGAGCCACTGTGAGACTGTCCTGCTGTTCTCTGGTGTTACCTTGCCACCCCTCCAAGTCAGGAAGGCAGAAAATCAAGCTAAGGAGGACTGTGCTTGATCTGAAAGGGTTGATGCTGTTTGCTCTGCACCTGTTGCTCCTTCAGTCTGTTTTGTTTCTCTTCTGAAGCAGAACCCCTCGCTTGTTCCATCCTTGTAATTTGGAAATGCATTGTGTGTTTGGTATCACTGGGTCACAGCTGGACAGCTGGAGTGCAGAGTATCTCAGAATGGATTTTACCTTGTGAGGCTCGCTCTTATAGGATGTAAGCGAGATTTGGATGAAATTTTTGACTTCATACTTCAAACCTAATGCTGAAATAAATCAAACGATTGAAGCTGAAGAAGTGTTTTGCATGTAATAAAGACAGATTACCTGGGATCACAGGCAGAATGCTACAAATTGCTTGTGTTTCCCTAAAATTCCTACCTAAGCCACCAATATTATGGTATCAAAAGTTGGGGCTAGGAATGAGTGTGGACTAGTCGGTCAAGGCCACAGTACCTGCCAGGACAGGAGGTGAGCCAAGTTAGGCTGTGCCCACAATCCACTGGTGTGTGCAA